AAGTACCACGCACTCCCACAACAACGGTCAGCCAGAGTTGCCACTTTTCTTTGACAAAAAACATCAAAAACGGAGTCAAAAAATACACAAAACATCTAAATTTGTCTGGAAAACATCTTTAGAAAAACATTCAAATGGAAAGAGTCACAAATTACATAGCAATTGATATGACTTATCCTATAGAATCATGTCCTCAAATTTACTGAATCTCCCTTACAAGATCCACAGGATAAACTAAGCTTGGATGATGAAGTTGAAGCTTCAGATCCAAAATGACTCTGGTATGCTTTAGCTGTTCCAATTTCTTTTAATACACAATCAGGGAGCTGATAAGTGGAACAGCCTTTTCCTACTCTTATCAGGCCGAATTGTATTGTCAAGATAGCATTTAAGAGGTCAAATTTCCTCCTGTTTCTTAGGTTAGATTTGATAAATTCACTCCAAATGAAAAACCTCTAGAAAAACATCTACCATCTAAACGTCAAAAATGTCATCTAAATGCAAGGGAAAACATCTAAAACTGGGTGTAAAACACCTAAAGTGGTAACACAGCGGTCAGCTACACTTAGATCTAAATTCCCCAAACAACTCGGGATTTTTGCAGAGACCCGTGAATATCAGGCAACCTCTGTTTCACAAATTTAAATGGCTCAGATGTTTTCACTCACAACCCGTTAATACAGCATGAATGCCCGTGTGTACCAATACTTCACACAGCCCTGACTTCCTTAGCTCTTTGCACACAGAGTGACTTTTGCATACAACATGGAAAAGGCTTTGCGAACGCATTTCGTAATGCCGAGGTGCCGGGTTCGATCCCAGCTGCGGGTTGCGCCTCGCATTGGTTTCGACAGTGGTATCGAGAAGCCGACCGTCCATAAAGCAATGGCAAACTACTGGACGTAAACTTGCCTAGAAAAACCACAACAGCCAAAAAAATGCTGGGGTTGGTTTTGCAACGTTCTGTAAAGGATACGCAACTAACCTTTTTTTTTTTTTAAATGGTCAGAGTAACATCTCTTAATCATAGCAAAATGTGGACAAATATGGCGTGCCACGTAAGTTGATAAGATCTTCCATGAATATGGTGGTGGTGATGATGCTGACGATGGCTGTGGTGGTGGTGATAATGATGATGTTGAGATGGTGGTGTCGTCGATGGAGGTGATGATGATAATGGTTATAATTATGGTAATAGCGGGCGGGAGCCCGAAGACAACTTATCACAGACATCAGAAGGAGACAGTCGTCATTTTTCGGCCATGTTATGAGAAGAGGGAAAATAGAACATGTTGTGACCACCGGAAAGATATGTGGAAGGAGAGGTAGAGGAAGCCAAAGAGAGAAGATGCTTGACAGTCTTGTTGCATGGCATGGAGGTGTATCGGCACACGAACTAATACATGCTGCAGGAGATCGCAGATTATGCAGAGGCGTGATCGCCCACGCCAGTCGGCAAGGCACCTGATGATGATGATGATGATGAATGACGGTTATGTGAAAACGAAGACGTTGAGGATGATTATAATGATAGAGGTGTTGATTATGAAAATGGTTATCGCAGTGATGATGATGATGATGACGAAGAGGATCTCTTAGATTCGCCTCTTTTGTCAGAGCTCATAATGTGGCCATATCCCAATTTGCAATGCCCTTCTCCTGTGAAATTTAATTTATCCATCTCCCTTCACGTCACGCAAAAAGCATCCCATGAATTTCCATTTACCTCAAGTTTATATCTTTTACTTTTTTTAGGATCACACAGGGGTTTGCTTTTTTTCTCCATTTCCTCCTGTGTGAAATGTTAAATTACAGGCTCCTTTCTTTTCTTTTAACGTCCTAGTCATCCTCCCAGGATAATTTTCTTTCTTTGTTTAAAGCTATACATCTCAAAGACTTCTACAAAGTGCGGGCCCTGTGTCTTCTAGAAACATTGTTTTAAAATCATCAAGAGGAATCCATTACCACGCATCCGTTCCTTCCCATTTTCTCTCATAACTGGGAGTTTTATGCTGACAAGAAAAACCCGCATCAAGCAGGAGACATTCGATCGATGGCAAGACGCCATATTTCAATGAACTCTGCCAGGACTTGTCTGCAACCTCCGCACGTTGCTGTTCTTGGTTTAAATGTGAACCGGTTTGATCGTGCGGGTTGGCTGGGCGTGGTTCTAACTGATCCATTGAAAGATTCACTAAGTGACACATAAAGGTTCACTGATTGACACATTAAGTTTCACTGATTGACACATAAAGGTTCACTGACTGACACAAAAAGGTTCGCTGATTGACACATAAAAGTTCACTGACTGACACATAAAGGTTCACTGACTAATACATAAAGGTTCAATGACTGACACATAAAGGTTCACTAATTGACACGGAAAGGTTCACTGATTGACACATAAAGGTTCACTAATTGACATATAAAGGTTCACTAATTGACACATAGAGGTTCACTGATTGACACATAAAGGTTCACTGACTAATACATAAAGGTTCACTGATTGACACATAAAGGTTCACTGACTGACACATAAAGGTTCACTGACTGACACATAAAGGTTCACTGATTGACACATAAAGGTTCACTGATTGACACATAAAGGTTCACTGATTAATACACAAAGGTTCACTGATTGACACATAAAGGTTCACTGACTGACACATAAAGGTTCACTGATTGACACATAAAGTTTCACTGATTGACACATAAAGGTTCACTAATTGACACATAAAGGTTCACTGATTGACACATAAAGGTTCACTGACTGACACATAAAGGTTCACTGATTGAAACATAAAGTTTCACTGATTGACACATAAAGGTTCACTAATTGACACATAAAGGTTCACTGATTGACACATAAAGGTTCACTGATTGACACATAAAGGTTCACTGACTGACACATAAAGGTTCACTGATTGACACATAAAGGCTTACTGATTGACACATAAAGGTTCACTGATTGACACATAAAGGTTCACTGATTGACACATAAATGTCCACTGATTGACACATAAAGGTCCACTGACTGACACAGAAAGGTTCACTGATTGACACATAAAGGTTCACTGACTGACACATAAAGGTTCACTGATTGACACATAAAGGTTCACTGGTTGACACATAAAGGTTCACTGATTGACACATAAAGGTTCACTGATTGACACATAGAGGTTCACTGGTTGACACATAAAGATTCACTTGTCGACACATAAAGGTTCACTGACTGACACATAAAGGTTCACTGACTGACACATAAAGGTTCACTGACTGACACATAAAGGTTCACTGACTGACACATAAAGGTTCACTGGTTGACACATAAAGTTTCACTGATTGACACATAAAGGTTCACTAATTGACACATAAAGGTTCACTGATTGACACATAAAGGTTCACTGATTGACACATAAAGGTTCACTGACTGACACATAAAGGTTCACTGATTGACACATAAAGGTTCACTGGTTGACACATAAAGATTCCCTTGTCGACACATAAAGGTTCACTAATTGACACATAAAGGTTCACTGACTGACACATAAAGGTTCACTGACTGACACATAAAGGTTCACTGACTGACACATAAAGGTTCACTGATTGACACATAGAGGTTCACTGGTTGACACATAAAGATTCACTTGTCGACACATAAAGGCTCACTGGTTGACACATAAAGGCTCACTTTTTTTCCCTGCATCAACACTACAAACAGCAAATCAAGTGGCTTGGTCATCTCTTCAGATTACAGCAACATCAAATACTAAAAAAGGAAAACATCCAAGCTATAAGAGCAACTGGACGGCCCCTGAAAATGGATGGACAATAAGAATAAACTCACAGGGAGCAAGTACAGCGGGGATCTACAGTCATCAGTAGAAATTATCCTCTTTCGACACACGTTTCGGCCCACGATTCCTAAACGTATTCGGAGGTGGGCCCACCTGAGTTCATGAAGCTCAGGGCTGCTTCCCTGCTGCACAGAATTACCGGATGGTGTTATTATTTTGGCCAGAGACAAGACGACTTAGTGGTTTCGAAGGAGGTACTGTGAGATAAGAAGTCGCCGCGACAGCGTAATTAGAACAGTCCGCATGCCTGGACGACCGAGCGACAAGCTTACTTTGGTTTACCGGACACATGTTGGACTTTTATTAGCAGTTGGCAGAGGGACACTGGCAGACAATTCGTACACGATGGACTTTCAAAGGGATGAGAAACTCCTTTCCGCTAGACACCCGGACCAGCTCACCGAGGCCCGTCCCCTACGTTGTTGCGCTGCGTCCACAGCCAGCTAGAGGCCCTTTCGGCTGCCTCTCCCAGTTTTTTGAGTGCTCGTTTCCGTTCATTACCGCGCAATCCTAATTCTTTCACCACATTGTAGAGCGAAGTGGAAACGAGGCCTCTCGCTCCCACTTCGACGGCAAATACCCGTACTGTGTAAGCCTCGTTTCTCCTCAAACCGGCTGCTAAATCACTGTATTTCTCGAGCTTATACAAATGATTCTCCTCCATACGCGACTCAAACGGGACCGTCAACTCAATCAGGATGAGTTGCCGTTTTTGCGCAGAATGGAGAACGATGTCCGGTCGCAGGCCGGTTTTACGGATCAACTCGGGATACCGTTCATGTCCTGGCAGATCAACCGCCAGTAACCAGTCCCTCGCAGAGTCTAGCGCAGATGGAGCGAATGCGTTTTGGTTGGACAACATTAAAGACACTTAGTCTTCACTGTATGACAATAGCCAGCCATTGTGCCCTGTGTCACAAATTGTTCATTTCCTTTGTGCTTAACGGCAGAAGTGGTTTATAGTGATGGTGATGATGACGACAAGTGAAATAAAAAAAATCCAGCATAACCAACTGAAGAACCAGACCAACCGGAGTAAGTTAATAAAAAGCTAATTTAAAAAAAAAAAAAGTAGAACAAGAGATCAGGATTTGTTTCGTTTCTGGTCCGACCCTGTAAATATTTTACACATTCAATGTCAAAATGGCGGCCACTGTGGTGAAGATCGGTAGTCACCTCAAGGAGTTGAGATTTCATCTTTGCCTTAAATCTGCTTCTAGTCAGGGAATTAGGTAAATTGGTTTACATATTTCAATGGCACACCTCATCGTTTGTTTTAAAATTATTATTATAAGTTCAAGGAAAGATCGCGTTCGTAGCGTGTGTTTCATCTTAGTTCTATACTACTATACTATACATTACTACTAACATAATAATTATTATTAATATAAATAATAGTTAATTTAATACATAACAACTTGTTCTTACTGACACTGCTGATACTGAAACTCTTGGACTTGTCCTTACATCATGGTATTGATATTTAATATTTGCATTCGATTCTGACGGCTGACGTTTCATTTTCCCCCTTTTTATAAATATTTAAAAAATGCATAACTCAGATGTGTCAAACAGAATATTTATAATTTATTTAATTTATTGTCTCTGGTTTAAGTTTAAATGCTAGTTCTATTTGACTATTTCTGCAAGCGTGATAGTAGTACTTAGTACTACTAAGGTTAGTTGCGTATCCTTTACAGGACGTTGCAGAACCAACCCCAACAGCCCCTGGCTGTTGTGTTGTTTTTCTAGGCAAATTTACGTCCAGTAGTTTGCCATTGCTCCTGGACGGTCGGCTTTCTTGATACCACCGTCGAAACCAACGCAAGACGTATGGCTCACAGCTGGGATCGAACCCGGCATCCCGGCATTACGAAGCGTTCGCATCGACTTAGCCACAGAGCCGACTGTAGTACTACTACTAGAATCAAATTCTGTGATTTATTATATTGATTTTGCGTAATGGAGATTTCATTACAGTGCAGCATTACAACACAACAACAATCAAATCATCAATCAGTACTGGACCTTCCTAAAAGATCTTCTGTGAAAGCAAGAGGGCACTCAAGGTTTAATGATTGATGAGCATAAACCGTCTAAGATGTGAAATGACTTTAAATTTATCACACATGCCGTCATATATTTGAATGATTTGACATGCAGACATGTCTAAAAACGTCTCTTGGACTTGGTAACGTTTTGCAAGTCATTCAGTTCATTCTACCTGTAGGTGTAAAATGGATGATTTCATGGAGGTATGGACTAGAACCTGTTCTTTCTAAGGACACTTATGGCAAAAGGGACAGTTGATGATGTCTGTCATACATCAAAGCTAGCTTCATGTAGATGTTATGATGCCGAGGGTAAATGTGTGGTCCGTAATGTCGGGCATTGGTCATCAAGTCCAGCCACAGTATCCTAATCCCCATGTTTACGTTATTTTTACTTTGAATGTTTAAGATAATGATAATATTCACCGAGTTTAGATTTGGCATCACTCTTCTAGACAGACATTTATTTGAACTAACGTTTCACAACTACATCCTTTACTGTGTCGTATGATGCATTATGAACAGTACCAACCACCAGTTATGCCAATGTCTCTCCATTGCCAAGCACAAGAAACTCACCAAACTTCGTCCCACCCCTACTTTCTCCTCCTCTCCATCTTCTGTAGTTGCTGGTAACATGGTGGTCTGTATACCTCTGGATTTCCCTCTGTCCACATTTGAAAGATTTGTCCTGGGTAAGGGCTTTTGTTTCGTACCCTTACGTCCTTGTGACTACTACGCCTTTCTTTAGAACATTTATCACTTCTATTGCTGGCCGGAGTTGAAATATTTCCACAGCACTCAACCTGGCATACCCAGAGATGAGCTGTACTAGGGGGTTAGGATCCACACTACAAGAATCTGCATGCCATAGTTCTGTGAAGTTCATCTAGGGCATCTAGAGCTTTGGATCTGTATATTGACAGAACTCTTTTCAAGATTAAAAAACTTAAATTTTTGTTATTTGTACACAGTACTTTTGGTTTCTTGGCTGTCAGGCAGATGTACTGTGACTTCAAAGGAAAACCCCTATATCTAATGTCACAAAAGAAATAACTTAACCAGTTGACCTCATCACCTACGTCAGATGATGGCAGTCCACATTCTGTAGACACATCATGAGAGGAGCAATGCTGGAGTGTGATGTAAACAGTAGGAAAGTTTAAAGGAAAGACACAGAGAGAAGATAGTAGACAGGCAACTTGGCAGGAAGGAACTTTTGCTTTAAAAATGATTGACAGTACACATGACAGAAGACTTTGGGCAGAAAGGATTATCACTGCCACTCATCTTGAATTTAAAGATTCAGTTAAAATTTATTGTGTTTTTTTCTTCTTCCTCCAGAGACTTTTTAGAAAAGAATTATGTGGCTCTGAAAACCAAAAATCCAGAGTTTCCATTCCTGGTACGTGAGGCAACTAATGTGCAGCCCAAAGTGTATGCCAGATATGGTAAGGATATGTTCGAATAACTTTTCAAATCAGGCACACAGCAGCACTGATATGTACACAGTATGTTTAACTGCTCGATCTGAATTGCACAGTATTTTCTTTGTTTTCTCTATTTCTGCCATATGTGTACATTTTAAGAATTATCTTTCAGGTTTCTCTGTTTCTGTCAAATAAATTACATTTTAAAGCAGCACTTTCTGTCAAATGTTTACATTTTTAGGAATCTTCTTTCAAAAGAAAAATGGTAACCATGAAAATGAGATGTCTGGAAAAAAAAAAGGTAATGACAAGAAGAGAGAAAATCAGGAGTGAGGACATGAGAGACAAAGGCATAGAACCGAATTACAGACAGCAAATGAAATGGTTTGCTCATCTGAGGACATGAGGTAGACTAAGAACAAGATGGACAGATAAAATCAGAGAAACTCTACAACAGTACCATGTATCTGAGCATCCAGAACAAGAAGCGGAACCTTATCTCCCTCAACATCCGAAGCGGTAATGTAATAGTTAGCTGTGTTTCCTTTACAGGACGTTGTAGAATCATTCCAGCATTTGTGTGTGTGTGTGTGCTGTTATTTTTTTTTTCTAGGTGGTTTTTTACGTTTAGCTACTGCTCCTAAACAATCAGTTCTCAAAACCAACACAAGTTATTCTGCAGCTTGGATTGAACACGGTATTATGAAGCACATTAACAGCGCCTCAACCACAAACACTGACAAAAGCAGTAAAAGACAAAGTGAAAATCTTTCAGGTTTCTCCGATTAACTGCTTAATGCCACTAGGCTGTACTTGCATCTGTACTGACATCCCTTTAGTTTTCTGTTGTATGTTGTTGTGGTCTACATTACACTTCTGATTGATATTCTGATTTTTCCTTTGAGCAGAGTATGGCAGGGAATCCAGTCTGCCTCTGACCAACATGACCAAGGAACAAGTGGAGAGGGCCGTGGAGAGTTTGATCCAGAAGAGTCGCTAGTGGAAGAGTGGAGCACATCCGTTGTAGTTCCCAAGTCCAAGGGATGAACCGTTGACTCACAGATCATTGCAGCACACAAGTTGTCTGGGTTTTCTTGAGTGCTCTAGTTATGTTGACTATTTGGGTTTTGTTGAGTGCTTTAGTTATGTTGATTGTTTAGGTTTTGTTGAGTGCTTTAGTTATGTTGAGGAGTTGTGTTGACTGTGTGTGTAGACACATGACTTTCTGTCTGAGCTGCCAGTGGAGGTACATAAATGTAAATCTGATCAGCTTTGGACATTGCCCCCAACATTAAAATAGTTGAATTATCAACACCATGTTATACATGTTTCTTTTTTTTTTGCACTGTCTGAAATAGTTTACAGTTATTAGTTTGTATCTTTGTTGTAGTGGTATGTGTGTATAGAATTCTGTATATATATTTATGTATGTGTGTATATATATATATATTTTTTTATGTATGTATGTGTATATATGTATGTATATATATATATATATATATATATATATATGTATAATATATATATATATATATATATATATATATATATATATATATATATATATATATATATATATATATATATATATATGTATGTATGTATGTATGTATGTATATATATATATATATATATATATGTATGTATGTATGTATATATATATATATATATATATATATATATATATATATATATTTATGTATGTATGTGTATATATGTGTGTGTGTATATATATATTTTTATGTATATATGTGTGTGTGTGTGTGTATAGTTATTTATTTATGTATGTGTATATATATATATTTATGTATGTATGTATATGTGTGCATCACATGACGAAAGGAAAGGCACCTGGGCTAGACATCACTGCACTGGAAGAAATTGAAGCTTTAGGATACTTTGGAATTGAAATAACGAAATTTATAATAGTGGGTACATTCCTAATGACCTACTAAAATCTACATTTATTGCTCTGCCCCAAAAAAACCAGGCACTTTAAAATGTTAAAACCATCGCACCAAAAGTCTTATGAGTCATGTGACCAAAATGTTATTGATAACAATTTATGAGAAGAATAAAAACCACGCTTAAACCAGAAATTGAGGGAGAACAGTGTGGAATTGTAAATGGAATGGTAATACACATCCTCAGGACTCTTTCGGAAAGAGCTATAGAGGTAAAAAAAAATCATAGACTGTACAAAAGCATTCGATTGTGTAAAATATGAAGAAATAAACTGAAGAGATTTATGAATGATAAAGAACATGTACTAGCAGCAAACAGCAGCTATGAGAATTATTAACCAGTTGGGAACATTTCAGAGCATAAGGAGGGGAATATGACAGCGATGTGTACTATCACCTGATTTATTTGCATTATGTAGTGAATATATAATGAGACCTATTATGGATTTGCCAGGAATTGTGGTTGGTGATCATACACATAAGCAACCTGCGTTATGCTGATGACATGGCCTTGATAATGGCAAGTCCAAAGAACTACAGGCATTGATACGGTGGTGGCAGAAAGTGATGAAATAAGTCTCAGGGAAGACAGAAGTAATGGTGATTTCCAAGAAAAGAATAGTGCCTAAATGTATCATAAGGGCAAAAGGCATTTTAGGACAAGTACAACAATTTAAGTATCTAGACACATGTATAACATCCAGTGGAAGATGTGTCACAGAGATAAAGAATGGAATAAGACAAACCAAAATTGCATTTTATAAAATGAAGATTATTTTGTGCAATAAGTCCATGTCATTGGAGGTAAGGAAAAGAATTCCCGCAAGCTATATAGAGCCAGTTATAACACATGGCTGTGAATCCTGGACAATTAATAAACAAGCCAAACACTATTTTGAGGCCTCGGAGATGTTTTACAGAGGCATCCTTAGAATTCCTGGCACAGCTAAGAACAACAACCCAGATGTTTTGTTGAAAGAGGCCATAGCTCGAAGACAACATCACAAAACATTATGACATTATTTTTTGTGATGTTATGAGATCAGGCAAATTAGAACATGTTGTGGCCACTGGAAAGATCTGTAGATAGAGGAAGACAGTGTGAGAAGATTCTTGAAGCCTTTGTCATGGCATAGAAGGGTGTCAGCATACAAACTTATACATGCAGATTGTGGAGAGGCATGATCGCCAATCGACAAGGTGTATGTATAAATATGTGTGTGTACACGCATGCCACCAGTTAGTTATCCAGCCATTGTCATCTGGGGAGGTCACTCTAGAGATGGGATTAAGACAATTAATCTGTTGTACCCAGTTTGCTATGAAAGTTGGTCTTCCCTTTGCTCAATGCTTCTGTTTCTTTAATGTCACTGTCTGGTAGTTGACGCTAATATGTTCTTGCCACATAGCCAGATCATTTTCTATCTCTCCTAATAACTTCAGCAGCCAAGAAATCTCATCTCAGTTGTGATTTCCTTTTCACTGGTTGTAGTAAGGGTCCATAATTGACACTGGTAGCATTGACTGACTGGCACTTTTCCATCTTTCCCGACGATAGTGTTATACTGCGCTATCAAATAACATTGGACTCGCAGCCCACGGTGAAGGTCTGACATAATTTACACTGGTAGCATAATGTCAGATAAACTCTCTAGAACTAGTATACTTTTCCATATCTGCCAGTTCTTAACCTTTTTAAAATGAAGTTCGTTTTTTCATGAAATATACACTCTGCTAATACAAGTACAGTAATTATATTTTCAATGGAAAGTTAACAGCTGATGGTGGAAACATTGCTGTAGCAAAGCCAAATGTCTCAGAGAAGGGAAAAAAGCTCAACAAATGTTTACAGCAATGAAGAGAGTTTATTTACAGTGACAACATAAGAAAACACAAGCAGGTGACACAAGGCTGTCAATATTTCTTCTTTCTGTAAATGTCTGGTCTCCAGTTGATGGGGTGTGTCTCCTCCGTCTGCAAACAAAAAAGTCACAGCGTAAGTGTCGGCAGCGGCACATAATTACATACTGTGATATATAGATAATGAAAACACATTACATATTATGACATATAAAGTGGGTTTGCTCCCTGGTGGAGCTGGACTTTTCTTCAATAATGACACAATGACACTGGCTCCGAGGCCTTGAGTGGGTACTGGGTGCAGTCCCAGGAAGTAGAGGCGGCCGGAGTGATGCTGACCACATCACCCATATTGTACCGTTGGTCTATAAAATATAGGTCTAGCCCTATTTGCCTAAAGGCGTGGAAAAAGGTCCTTTACTTTTAACTTATGACATAAAAACAATGACCCAATCAGATTACAAAACAGACAAGCGAAATATTTCAGCAATATTAAATGACAAAACACTTTTTAAAAACAAAATGCTGGAGTGTAGTTAAAGTCAAGAAAGGAAGAGCATGGCAGCGAAAATAAAAGATAACACCAAGAGCTATATAAGTCCTATCCTGATATACGGAAGGGAATCATGGATAGTTGGACGATAAATAAAAAAGTATTTGGAAGTTGCTGAGATGTGTAAACATAACAGATATGAAAAACAACAACAGAAAAGCAACTCACTGCAGACTCATCCTCTTTATAAATCTTGATGGTTTTGTCCGTCTCTCCGGTGATCAGTCTGGAACCACTCTGGTCAAAGCAGACGGCAAAGATGCCAGCCTCAGAGTGGATGGAGCCCGGCTGGGCAGCAGCCTGGATTCTCTGGAAGTTGTAGCCGGTCCTCCAGTCCCAGAAGTGCATGCTGCCGTTGTCCGCTGCAGAAATACAGGGATACTCCTGGGGTTAATATGGCTCTAATAATGTAGGGATACCCCTGGGGTTAACATGGCTCTAACAACACAGCGATACCAATGGGGGTTAACGTGGCTCTAACAACACAGGGATACCAATGGGGTTAACACGGCTCTAACAACACAGGGATACCCTTGGGGTTAACGTGGCTCTAACAACACAGGGATACTCCTGGGGTTAACATGGCTCTAACAACACAGGGATACCAATGGGGTTAACACGGCTCTAACAACACAGGGATACCCCTGGGGTTAACATGGCTCTAACAACACAGGGATACTCCTGGGGTTAACGTGGCTCTAACAACACAGGGATACTCCTGGGGTTAACATGGCTCTAACAACACAGCGATACCAATGGGGGTTAACGTGGCTCTAACAACACAGGGATACTCCTGTGGTTAACATGGCTCTAACAACACAGCGATACCAATGGGGGTTAACGTGGCTCTAACAACACAGGGATACCCCTGGGGTTAACATGGCTCTAACAACACAGGGATACCAATGGGGTTAACACGGCTCTAACAACACAGGGATACCCCTGGGGTTAACGTGGCTCTAACAACACAGGGATACTCCTGGGGTTAACGTGGCTCTAACAACACAGGGATACTCCTGGGGTTAACGTGGCTCTAACAACACAGGGATACTCCTGGGGTTAACGTGGCTCTAACAACACAGGGATACCCCTGGGGTTAATGTGGCTCTAACAACACAGGGATACCCCTGGGGTTAACATGGCTCTAACAACACAGGGATACTCCTGGGGTTAACGTGGCTCTAACAACACAGGGATACTCCTGGGTTAACGTGGCTCTAACAACACAGGGATACTCCTGGGGTTAACGTGGCTCTAACAACACAGGGATACTCCTGGGTTAACATGGCTCTAACAACAACACAGGGGTACCCCTGGGGTTAACGTGGCTCTAACAACACAGGGATACTCCTGAGGTTAACGTGGCTCTAACAACACAGGGATACCAATGGGGTTAACGTGGCTCTAACAACACAGCGATACCCCTGGGGTTAACGTGGCTCTAACAACACAGGGATACTCCTGGGGTTAACGTGGCTCTAACAACACAGGGATACTCCTGGGGTTAACGTGGCTCTAACAACACAGGGATACTCCTGGGGTTAACATGGCTCTAACAACACAGGGATACCCCTGGGGTTAACGTGGCTCTAACAACACAGGGATACTCCTGGGGTTAACGTGGCTCTAACAACACAGGGATACTCCTGGGGTTAACATGGCTCTAACAACACAGGGATACCCCTGGGGGTTAACGTGGCTCTAACAACACAGGGATACTCCTGGGGGTTAACATGGCTCTAACAACACAGGGATAAACTCCTGGGGTTAACGTGGCTCTAACAACACAGGGATACTCCTGGGGTTAACGTGGCTCTAACAACACAGGGATACTCCTGGGGTTAACGTGGCTCTAACAACACAGGGATACTCCTGGGGTTAACGTGGCTCTAACAACACAGGGATACCCCTGGGGTTAACGTGGCTCTAACAACACAGGGATACTCCTGAGGTTAACGTGGCTCTAACAACACAGGGATACCAATGGGGTTAACGTGGCTCTAACAACACAGCGATACCCCTGGGGTTAACGTGGCTCTAACAACACAGGGATACTCCTGGGGTTAACGTGGCTCTAACAACACAGGGATACTCCTGGGGTTAACGTGGCTCTAACAACACAGGGATACCAATGGGGTTAACGTGGCTCTAACAACACAGGGATACCAATGGGGTTAACGTGGCTCTAACAACACAGGGATACTCCTGGGGTTAACGTGGCTCTAACAACACAGGGATACTCCTGGGGTTAACGTGGCTCTAACAACACAGGGATACCCCTGGGGTTAACGTGGCTCTAACAACACAGGGATACCCCTGGGGTTAACGTGGCTCTAACAACACAGGGATACCAATGGGGTTAACATGGCTCTAACAACACAGGGATACCAATGGGGTTAACACGGCTCTAACAACACAGGGATACCAATAGGGTTAACGTGGCTCTAACAACACAGGGATACCAATGGGGTTAACGTGGCTCTAACAACACAGGGATACCAATGGGGTTAACGTGGCTCTAACAACACAGGGATACCAATGGGGTTAACGTGGCTCTAACAACACAGGGATACCAATGGGGTTAACGTGGCTCTAACAACACAGGGATACTCCTGGGGTTAACGTGGCTCTAACAACACAGGGATACCCCTGGGGTTAACGTGGCTCTAACAACGCAGGGATACTCCTGGGGTTAACGTGGCTCTAATAATGTAGGGATACTCCTGGGGTTAACGTGGCTCTAACAACACAGGGATACCCCTGGGGTTAACGTGGCTCTAACAACACAGGGATACCCCTGGGGTTAATATGGCTCTAACAACACAGGGATACTCCTGGGGTTAACGTGGCTCTAACAACACAGGGATACCAATGGGGTTAACATGGCTCTAACAACACAGGGATACCAATGGGGTTAACGTGGCTCTAACAACACAGGGATACCCCTGGGGTTAACGTGGCTCTAACAACACAGGGATACCCCTGGGGTTAACATGGCTCTAACAACACAGGGATACTCCTGGGGTTAACGTGGCTCTAACAACACAGGGATACCAATGGGGTTAACGTGGCTCTAACAACACAGGGATACCAATGGGGGTCAACGTGGCTCTAACAACACAGGGATACCCCTGGGGTTAACATGGCTCTAACAACACAGGGATACCAATGGGGTTAACACGGCTCTAACAACACAGGGATACCCCTGGGGTTAACATGGCTCTAACAACACAGGGATACTCCTGGGGTTAACGTGGCTCTAACAACACAGGGATACTCCTGGGGTTAACATGGCTCTAACAACACAGCGATACCAATGGGGGTTAACGTGGCTCTAACAACACAGGGATACTCCTGTGGTTAACATGGCTCTAACAACACAGCGATACCAATGGGGGTTAACGTGGCTCTAACAACACAGGGATACCCCTGGGGTTAACATGGCTCTAACAACACAGGGATACCAATGGGGTTAACACGGCTCTAACAACACAGGGATACCCCTGGGGTTAACTTTGCTCTAACAACACAGGGATACTCCTGGGGTTAACGTGGCTCTAACAACACAGGGATACTCCTGGGGTTAACGTGGCTCTAACAACACAGGGATACTCCTGGGGTTAACGTGGCTCTAACAACACAGGGATACCCCTGGGGTTAATGTGGCTCTAACAACACAGGGATACCCCTGGGGTTAACATGGCTCTAACAACACAGGGATACTCCTGGGGTTAACGTGGCTCTAACAACACAGGGATACTCCTGGGGTTAACGTGGCTCTAACAACACAGGGATACTCCTGGGGTTAACGTGGCTCTAACAACACAGGGATACTCCTGGGGTTAACATGGCTCTAACAACACAGGGGTACCCCTGGGGTTAACGTGGCTCTAACAACACAGGGATACTCCTGAGGTTAACGTGGCTCTAACAACACAGGGATACCAATGGGGTTAACGTGGCTCTAACAACACAGCGATACCCCTGGGGTTAACGTGGCTCTAACAACACAGGGATACTCCTGGGGTTAACGTGGCTCTAACAACACAGGGATACTCCTGGGGTTAACGTGGCTCTAACAACACAGGGATACTCCTGGGGTTAACATGGCTCTAACAACACAGGGATACCCCTGGGGTTAACGTGGCTCTAACAACACAGGGATACTCCTGGGGTTAACGTGGCTCTAACAACACAGGGATACTCCTGGGGTTAACATGGCTCTAACAACACAGGGATACCCCTGGGGTTAACGTGGCTCTAACAACACAGGGATACTCCTGGGGTTAACATGGCTCTAACAACACAGGGATACTCCTGGGGTTAACGTGGCTCTAACAACACAGGGATACCAATGGGGTTAACGTGGCTCTAACAACACAGGGATACTCCTGGGGTTAACATGGCTCTAACAACACAGGGATACCCCTGGGGTTAACATGGCTCCAACAACACAGGGATACCCCTGGGGTTAACATGGCTCCAACAACACAGGGACACACTAGGGATACCCCTGGGGTTAACATGGCTCTAACAAAACAGGGACACACTAGGGATATCCTTGGGGTTAACAGGGCTCTAACAACACAGGGACACACTAGGGATACCCCTGGGGTTAACATGGCTCCAACAACACAGGGACACACTAGGGATAACATGGCTGTAACAACACTAGGGATACCCTTGGGGTTAACAGGGCTCTAACAATACAGTATTCATCAGCTCAAGTAATAACAATCTTAAGTTTAACCAGCTTTATCATACACAGCTTCATGTTGATCGGTACAACAGATACTGACCTGCAGAAACCAGGACCCCATCAGAGTTGCAGGCCAAACTGTTGATGATGGCATTGTGCCCAGACAAATTCTGCAAGAAGTTTCCATCTGGGAACTTCCACTGCTTGATGTTATCTGGCGATCCCGAGGCAAACGAGTACCTAAGTCAGCAAGAAAGTTACATGTGAACAAGGAATCAATTAAAATGACAAATACTAAATCAATTAACATGACAAATACTAACAGACCACTGGAGAAAGCAAGCAAGCAAGGAGTTAATACCAAGATAGTGTTCCTATTATTGTGAGTCCATCAGTTTCCTGTCATATGTTTCCGTGGGAGCATTTTTTTCCCTTCAGATCCATGTATGACATTGGTAGTCACGTCTGTCCACTATCTTCTATCTTGTGTCCTTTCAATTAATGACACAGATGATCTTCCATGCCCGGATGTCAAACTGTCCAGCGTCTGTTCTCTTGGTCTCCCTCTGCCTCTCCTTCCCTCCAACTTTCCTACTGTCATGAGGTACTCCAGTTTTCTCCTTCTCATGACATGACCAAAGAATGTAGACTGTCTCCTTCTGATGTATTTAATTGTTCTCTTCATAAACCAGTTTCTTTCAAGACATCCGCATTTATCTTTTTATTTGTCTAGGTTATTCTCATAATTTATTGATAAAACATCTTTGCCAAATAATTTATCACTAATTGTCCAATTATTCATGATTTACTTCTGTAAATGAGGAATGGATTTATACAACTCTTGAGAATTCTTTCTACTCTCAGCTGACAAAGAAATACTGCATATAATCTGCATTATATACTTTAACTATTCAGTATTTAATTTCTGTAATACATCTTCTATCTGGGAGTCGTGGTGGCAGAGCGGCTAGACGCGTGTCGCGGATTGAAAGGTCGTGGGTTCACTCCCAGGCGGAGCCGTACTTTTCTTAAAAAATGACCTTGGCTCCCAGGTCAACCCAGCCTTGAGTGGGTACCGGGAAGTAGAGGCGGCCGGCGTGATGCTAGCCACATCACTCATCTATAAAATATAGGTCTAGCCCTATACGCCTAAAGGCGTGGAAAAGGGTCCTTTACTTTACTTACATCTTCTTTCTAACAATCATAAAAACTGAAAAAAATATATAGTATAAATGGAGAAATATGAAAAAACAGTTTAGTGGGGGGGGGGGGGGGGGAATTAAAGCTGGCACTATAGTATGTGATGCAGGCAACAGAACTATCGCCGTGAGTGTACAGTATACCATGCACGTATATTTTCTCTTCACCTTCTTCAGCATTCTGAGCCACTGCGGTTCTTCGCTGCAGATATACCCCACCTCCATTCATCTGTGCTTAAGGACATAGTATACTTTATTTTCAGATTCGATTCTACATTGTATTTCTTCTTTTAGTATGTTAGAGTTTGTATTCAACTACTTGTTTCCTTGCCGTGTGGATTCGGGGAACCTGCTGTAGGGGATTAAACAAATGTAAACAAAAATAAACAGGCCAACTGTCTCCGTGACAGGATGTCGTAAAAGTCGACTAATTGGGGTGCTCCTTCAAAGCTGGAGTACATCTGCTTGTGAGGTGCACACAGAACTCTGACAGAAATGTCTGGTTGTTCATCCACTTCTGGACTTTAGTCCTGTTCCAGAACCTGAGTGTTGCATATGCATCCGTTTTAAAGATCTGACACATTAGTATGCAGACTGCTGGTTCCTTGCCTCTAAGGCAGATGCATTCTGACTTTGAAGAAAGTTCCCAATTAGCCCGCCCTTACAATAGGGTTTTAGGGAGGCAGTGGGTCTATTCTTGTTTTCCCTACGTTAGGGCCCCAGAACCCACAAGTTAGACCCACACTCACTGTTGGTACTATAGTATACTCACTGGGAAGGATGTAAAGCTAGAGCTCTCACGCTCTTCTTGTGGTTGGTCAGCGTGACTCTTGTCCTTCCCATAGCCAGGTCCCACAGACGAACCGTACAATCGTGACTGCCCGATATCACCTGCAACCAAAGTTTACCAACATCTGAAATATCATTCACCCATTGATAGCCAACAAAGGTGACAGTAATGGCATTATGAGTTGCTCTGTGCTTTTACCATCGATATTTCATTTACACAATGGGTTGCACACATGAAGGTCTCAGGTTCGAATCTGTATTAAAGTAGATTTTTTTCCAAACTGTTGTTAGCACCTTTCAGATGAGGATTATATTGTTCTATAAATAGGCAAAGGACTCACAGCCCTTGGCGATGGCGAGTGACTAGTAAGACCTGCCCATGTAAAAAGAAAAGTCTTCCATATTTATAGGACAGGATTTCAAGAGTATTGTTGCTACCATTTGTATTTAGCGTGTTTCTCTCATCCTTTCCAAATGACCTAGATTAAATTAAAATGGGCATCAGAAAAAAATATCATGGGAAGCCAAGATATATCACATACCTAGTTCCATTTTGTCTACTTAAAAAATATGTCTAAATGCCTGATGTGCCAATAGCGTGAAAAATATCCTTTCATTCCAGACCCCCCCCCCCAACATTTTTTTTTTAAACTTACACTGCCAGCTGGGTCCAGTTTCCCCATAATGTAGCCTCTCTGACTTGTCTATAATGATCTTGTTACGAGGCACACAGTTAATGTTTTGTCAGAGATCTCCCCTGTGCAAATGTTTAAGAGGTCGAATACGAAAACAGTAACTAACCACATTAATTGGACTGTTAGTGTTTACTTAATAATCCTTACATATATCTTCATATATGACTCCCACCTCCTACATAAATGCAAAATGTAGATAAATAAATTTTTAGCAACCTGTGTAAAATTTGCTGTTTTACGGATATTTTTTTCTGGAATCCTAACAGGGTAACAGCCTTTTTTGTTTGTTTTTAAAGTTTTCCTGGGGGCAATAGGGCTGGAAGAACTTCACATATACTAGGCTGCAACTTTCGTTCTTTGTCACCATACAATAGCCTGAAATTGCTGGGACTGGTCTGTGAAATCCCGAAGAGGATATGCAAATATCTGTAGACTGCACTAACTCTAGATCCACATACAGATAAGCAAAATAGACTTTCCTCAATGGAAAAAGAGGGGGCAGGGGTTAATCCTGGGCTGACATCTGAGTCCTCAGTTCACTAGGTGACCACATCTTTCAACTCATGACAAAGACAGTTAGGGACACACACTGACAGGTTTCACAAGAATAGTTAGGAACACACACTGACAGGTTTCACAAGGATAGTTAGGAACACACTGACAGGTTTCACAAGAACAGTTAGGGACACACACTGGCAGGTTTCACAAGGACAGTTAGGGACACACACTGGCAGGTTTCACAAGGACAGTTAGGGACACACACTGGCAGGTTTCACAAGCACAGTTAGGGACACACACTGGCAGGTTTCACAAGGACAGTTAGGGACACACACTGGCAGGTTTCACAAGGACAGTTAGAAACACACACTGGCAGGTTTCACAAGGACAGTTAGGGACACACACTGACAAGTTTCACAAGGACAGGTACCAAGCACAAGAAGCAAGTTCCACAAGGAAAGAACAATCAAGGATCTGTCAGGAGTGGAGTATATGCGAGGTAATCTCAAACTGACCTGAGGCTCTGCTGCCTGACACTTGACCTCTGCAACAGTGTTTGTGTGTCCGGTCATCGTGTGAATACAGGCCTTTGTGCGGATATCCCATATCTAAGAATGGATAAATCAACATTTTCATGTCTGAGAGTGCACATATCAATATTCTGACATGTCTGAGGTAGTACATATAAATATTTTAATATGAATGAGATAGTACTAATCAATATTTTAACAGGCATATAATTTTCTGTACACATACTACTACAATTTAAAATACAGCGCTTGTCCTGTAAAAAAAAAAAAAACAGGAATGTTAATTCATTTATCTGCTTTTTTTTAATCAACTGTTACTGTAGTATGCACCTGATGAGATGTAGCAAAATCACGGCATGTGTGTACAGCTGATTCTCAAGCCAGCGAAAGGCAGCAGTGACTGCCTCTACCTCCATTCTTAAACTAGCCCTCATGATGTCCAGTGGTAAATGATGATGTAAACATACTACCAATTTTGATGTTGCCTCTCACTCTCCACAGTTTGCATCTTTGATGATCCCAAGATTCGTCATAAGGCTCTGCATTCAAAAATTTGTAATAAGGCTTCTTATCTTTTAGCTATGCTCCAGGTTTTAGAGCCATATAAGACATCTGGTCATATCAGCATTTACATATTGTGTGTGATCTTGGTTTTACGAGACACAGCATTTGATTTTAGCAGATTTTGTGAGGAGCAGCATACCTTTTTTCCAGATTGTATTCTAGAAGTTTATGTCAGATCTTTAACAAATGAAGATTGTGAGAATACAAGTTTTCAAAATACTTTATGTTGGGAGTAGAGGAGGGGTTTCACCTTTCGGATACTCTGTGGACAATTGAATGGCCAGTATATTATCTAGTGACCTGAAATATTCTGCCAGGATGCTGCTAGAAAATGTGCTTACCCGAACAGTGCCGTCCCTCCCACAAGACGTGAGAATATCCAAGGTCGGGTGGAGGTCAAGGCCATAGCAAGCGCTAAGATGTCCGTGGTAGTGGCGGATGGTCTGGGGATAACAATACAAAAAAAAAAAAAAAAACAGTTAAACAATAAAACATGATGGTAAACAACCTTTATTACATGGTTGTTTTATTATTCTACTTCAGCCATCTATACCCCAGTGGAGCATAGGCCCTCAACCAACTTATGCCAAGTCATTCTATCTTTTGCTACTGCATGCAGCCCTCCCCATCTTGTCACTCTACAGCTCCCTTCTCCATGTCTGTGTTGGTCTTCCTTTATTTTTATGCACCTCTGGGTTCCAATGCAAAGAAATTCTAGTTAAATTGTTCTCAGGTTTTCAAAATGAGATTAGCGGCTGCCGCTCCTCTGGGCGATGAGCTACTATATGATAAAGCGGATGTGGTGAAGGTTCTATGAATGAAATCAAATGGGTAGTACAACAGAACAGATAGAGAATCCATACACTCAAAAGGCTAAGGAAGGGGGCGGAGGGAGGTAGAGATGTTCAATATTGAAGGGGAAACAGGCAGACTTTTTATCAGGTTGCAACTGTTACTATTAGCATGCCAACTCTGCGCTGGCTATTGAAGAAAGGTCCTCATCAACATCATGCGGCATGTTTCAGACACGAGAGTAAGCTCACCTTGTTCTGCTCAAGATCCCAGCACTTGACCATCTTATCCTCGCCACAAGAGAACAAATATGGCTGTCTGGCGCTGACAGCCAGGCCTCGCACGGTGCTGACGTGACCTGTCAGGGACAACTTGAGGGTGCCTGATGCCAGGTCCCAAATCTGCAGGAGGAAAATATATTACAACAATTATTATAATAATATTAGGACAAGGCAGGTGGAACATAACCCAAAGCGAGAGAGGCGGGATAACAGTCAACGTAAGGCAGATTATGCCTTTACACTGGTAACCCTTTTAAGAAAAACCCATGCTCCCGAGAATTTCTGGATGGGGGAGGGGGGCTTTGAAAACACAGGTTTTCTTCTTGTGATGTTATCTTTCCATTTTGTTCTTGGTCTACATCTTGCTCTATGTCCCTCTCCTCTTTTGGTATATGCCTTGTATTGTATAGCAGGTCACTAATCAATACATTTATTAATACCTATTTGTTTTAAACTGTTATAGAAAAATGTAAAAGGGAATAATCAAGGGACACAAATGAAGTCAAGAATTAAACTCTGTCTTTCCCTTGGGCCTAAAAAAAATGCATATGATGACTTACAGTGTGACCTTTGGCCCCAGTTAATGAAAGATAATTATGACACCATAATGAATAAAAAGCAATTTTTACAAAACAGAATCCCTTAAAATGCTATTTTTAGTAAATATAATAACATCCAGGGTTCCTAAACGCTGTGCAAGTGCAAACAGAACCAATGTCATTAACTAGGTTTGCCAGGGACCGACCAATGCAGCAATGCAGTTTAGCTGCTTCTCTGGGATGAGTAGTGCTTTGAAACATCTGTATGAACACCCTTTCTGTGCCAAGACATATGTGTATATGGTGCTGACTTCCATACTTTATAGATTAATCAGCAATCGATGTTGAATATCTTGCCTAAAAGATTTAATTCCCAAAACATATCCTAGTACCCCAAATAAGGTACAACCTACTTGGGAGCTCAAGGGATTAAAACAGATCATAAAGCTAAGTGCTGCCCTTGAAGAAGAGTTGGCTAAATAATACGTTGGCGGATGTTTCATGACTGTAGACTTTTTGAAATCAATAACTTGCGCACCACAATTAAATCTGTGTATTATGTTTCAAGCGCCATGCAACTTTTAGCTAGAATATCACTGCTATATACCTGTGTTTTAGTAACTGATCTTAGCTACAGTAGTGTTACTGAATATATATGAATGTATTTAAAATTTATCTGAATGCCAAAATAAGATCAGAAACACAAGTTATGAAGAGATTATGGAAACACATGGACTATGGGTAATGAATGAAAATGGACATGTTGTTGTGACAGGCCTGAATCTTTCCCCATACCTAAGAAACGTCCTCAAAACAATATTTGTGGTTTTATTTTCATTCTTACCTTAATGACTCTGTCTCCAGAACCGGAACAAAACCACTCATTGCCTGGTTCCACGGCCAAACACCTCACCCAACCAATGTGCCCACTAATCACCTGTGGAAAGCGTAATTTCAAACATGATTGTTTTTAAATATGCACAAACATGCAAACACATAAACAAACAGATATTGTCCATCACTCTCTGCATCTCACAAAGTATACAAAAACTTCCGGTTAAAATGGACGCTAGACAGCGGCGCTGTTCGAAGCAGAGGCAAATTTTTTGCTTCTGCCTGACGGTGGCCGAAGTATTTTTGCTCCATTTGTAGACTGGATATAGTTTCGTCGCCCAGCTTCTGAGTTGAATGCATGGCGTGACCCTGTGAGCTGCGGATTGCATTTGGAATGTATTTTCGACTGTGACCAACGTGGTGGTGTGAATTGTAGATTCAGAAAATGGCGTGATGCCTGTCGTGCAATGTTGGCGGTGCCCGTATCTGGTTAAAATTGATCGCGTGGACAACTGCTGAACTGTTGGCGACAAGTTCTGCTATCATCAATGATGAACTGCATTTCTAATGTTGGACTGTTTGTGTAAGCACTTTGGATGGCTACCGTATGCTTTAATGCGAGTGTATGCTAGATATGCTGAGACAGCAGTCTGTCAATCTTTCCACAAGGGACTGTGATAAACATTCTGGGTGTTTTTCGTTGGCACAGGAGCAGAGCAAAGATGGGGCGACCCGTTGCTATGAAGCTGAAACTAAGACTACTACCATACAAAAACTGCACGACATACATACAAATCTGACCCAAAATCATGTAAACACATATCAATATTTAACTTTGTCACTGCAAGGAAAAACAATCCAGGATGTAGACCCATGAATCCTTGCCAACATCTCATGACATGTTACTGATGACATTTTAGTTATCAAATCAGCCCTTCATCTTGGTTCCAACATCCTGAAAAACTGGCCACCCAAGATTTTCTCAGTTCCTGCACCAGTGAAAAATCACACAAAATATAATTCACTGTTTTATCTGAAAACAGATCAGTTCCAATCAAATCCAGAAGCCTACACATGCAAAGTAAATATATAAGGCAGCTGCCTGATGTGCCAACACTAATAGTTCACCACTAGAAATGCACTGCAACAAACTGTCATCTGCATATTTAATACTGTGAAAGGTAATTGCCAGAAAAAAAGCTGCACATCTCTCTCTCTCTTTCGCCTAAACTTATATCTTTCCCCTTCATTCTCTCTGAAACAAAGTGACTATCCGGGTAATGACAGTGTTGCAAGCAATAACCAAACATCTCTCTGAAGACTGCTCAATACAACTGATGTAGACCACAATGTTTTCATCACCATCTTTCCTTAAGACCCCACATCATAAAAACAAACCACAAGTCACTCCATACCTACCCTGTATAACTTCCATGGTGGGTGCCAGTTTGGCTTGGGCATTGTTGGAGCTTTCTTGGGCACTAACATCTGCTGCTGGCCGATGTTGACTGCAACCAGCGCCTGGCCAATCAAAGAAACAATACACAACATTTGGCGGTCCCTTAGCTGACATAAATCTGACACAGCTTTGAATGGATCTAGTGAATAATAATCAACTAATGTTAATATTACGATCATAGGAAACATAAGAAAGATGTAATATGAAATATTTACAGAAAATGGCAGACTCGATAAACAGATAGAAGCCAGAGTACAGAAGGCAAATGCTGTCAACTACAAGTTGGCCTCACTGCTTAGATACCCCACATGTCTGCCTTCTAGCAAAACAGCAAATTATTACTTTATAGCATCCCTACTTTATGCTCTATCAGTGCCAAACATGGACAATGAATAGGGCCCTAGAACAGAAAATAACTACCTTTGACATGAAAAGACAGGGTTACGAATGCCAGCATTAGAGAGAAAGCTGGAATAAGACCATATCTGAATTATAGTGACAGATTTAAAAAATGAATTGGTTTGGTCATTTAGTGAGAATGCAGCCAGACCAAAGCAAATATGAGATTTTTCACAGCAGAACATCAGGGAAGACCTAGAAAGAGAGGAATAAATGGTATAGCTGAAACCTGCAAAAAAAAGATGATTAAAGCTTCACCCCAAAATACTCAGGAAGTGCCAGACAAATATAGAAAAACCAAGCACTGGGCTACAACTTGGTATCAGTGAGACAACAAAAGAAGAAGAGGAAAAATGCCATGAAACAATTGCAACTCAGTAGTTGGTGTAACGGGTAACATCTTTTCCAGGATAAATGTTTTCTATGCATCAATTCAGCATAAGTGACAAGCAAGACAGTGTGCTTGGAGTCTTTACCAGTGCCCACTGTTTTACAGGGTTGTCCTGTGGGTCAGATTTCTTCTCTATGACAGTTTAGACTGTTAACCAATAGCGTCTTTTGCCTTCCTGAGTGAGACCAAAAGGGCAGAATGTATGACGGGCCTGTGTGCCCAATTCTTAACCCTTTGAAGGGCAGTACCTGCGGAGAAGGAGACAAAGTGGACACACACAAATCAGGCAACGTCTCGACCCACACAAAACAATGGCCACAGTCATCCTAGAAATAGGCCTGACGTCTTCCCTCGAAGTCGGAGTACAGCTGCCCATGAGGCAGGGAACAGCAAAACGGTTGTAAACGCAAAACTCAGGTCCAGGTAAAAGCCAAAAGTCCAAGCGGACGATTAACCGGGACCTTCCGCCGGAATTCACAGCCGGAGAACGAAGAAGAAGAAGAACACTTTTAAAAAAAGTGTTCATTCATTCATGGTCTGAGAGACATGCCCCATCAACTTATGCACTTGTTAAATATGTGTCCTGACGTAAGACCATATGTATGTAAAGTTAAGCACTTTCACTACCAAGATTCTGCCAATTACAGCATAAGGACATACAATATGATGAGATATACAAGCAATGTATGGTCAGGATAAACAATTTACAGACAAGGACAAAAGTGTGGATATACGGACAGATATAATCCTGTAACACAGTACAACCCAAGCTACTGACCTTGCTCTGGTCCATCTTGTCCATATCCTGCTGTGAGTTAGAAAGTCTGTCAAGCAGAAATATAACAGTGGCAATTACACTAGCCCCAAATTAAATAAACAAAAAACACTTAACCCTTTGGAGACGACTCGGCCGATCTGTCAGCCAAACAGCAATCTGCACAAAACGAGATGGCTGGGCCAATCCACTGGCCTGATAATACAAGCCTTGAGATTGGCTGGCAGGTTTTTGGAGCTGCCAATTAGATTGCTAGTCGCATTTCTTGCACATGTGAGCTGTTTAATAACAGCTTTTATGAAACTTTGCTATGTTCTGTAATTTTAACACTTTTTTTTTGGGGGGAGGGGGGGTGTTTTGTGCCCAGCAATGATGAAAAAGACTTGCGTCATAGCAACACAACTTAGCAGAAGGCGAGAAAAGGAGAAGAACCATATGCCAGAGCTGTACGGAAGGCTGACATGGTCCTTGCTTCTCAAAACACAAGTGTTAGGACGTATTCATGCTTCATTCATCAAAAAATTTACCAAATTGTTCATTTTAGTGATGGTTGTCCTAAGCAATAAAAAACAGTACATGCATAAATATGCACATTTGATAGGTAATTTGAATATCTGTTGATATGTTACTGTGATTTATAAAGACTGTGTTAGTTCATTCAAACTTCTAAATGAATATATATAGTTTTGTATATGTTAATTATACGCTTTATTTTCTTATTAAAATATTTTGGGGGTGTAAATTAAGAGAATCCCCTCCAGAATCTCCGTCTTCTTGGCAGTGAAACACCAAATAAGGCTTCATCTCCAAAGGGTTAGGCAACATTCTGACAGTTTTGGTTTTTTTTAAATCCATCTTTTTTTTAGGTCCTCATCCTTATCAGTTAGAAGATCTTCTGCAGAAGAGACAAAACTATCACCACACCCCAATAAACAGACTCTCAGTTTTTCAGCAGTTCTCCTAACTCAGGTTGTCATGCCTAAGGTGTCTCAAGTATGTCCAATCATGTATAACCTGCCTTTTTCCCCTTTTTATGCAACCATATGAACCTTCTTCTTCTTAGCATTCGCTGGCTGTAAACTCTGGTGGAAAGTTCTGGTGGTTCATCCACTTCTGGGCTTTAATCTTGTTCCGTAACTTGAGTTTTGCATGTCAAAAATATTTTACAAATCTGGCTTATTTGTGTGCAGGTGTGGTCACTACCGTGTCCTAATTATAACAACTCTGAAGGTTGAACAGGGTATCTGGTCAAGCTCTGTTTGTCTAGCACCAGCACTGAGAGCTAGTAGTCTAATGGTGTTAGGTCCTGTCAGCCTGCCATCCTTATTGAGATCTTCTGACCTCAGGGTGTCAAACTTTTTAGACAGCAGCCCAGAGGGGATAAACATGCATGTATGATATCAGATGAGAAAGCAACATCATTCCTGGTCAACAATATCAATATATTCTGACCTCTTATCTCGGTAAAGATTTCACATCACAGCATTCAAGACAAGCCCATATTAACTCCGCCTACCTCCTTAACAACCAGTGAAGAATCTCCATATTGACAATACCCGTTGTCATTTGGTTAACTCCCCCCCTCCCCCTGTGTTTTAAGTGGTGCCCAGACCCCTCAGATACTCCCTGCTGAATCAACACAACCAGAACAGGTTAAAGCCCAGAAGTAAACTTCCATCTATCTTCTACATGTCGAGAAGATTGAAAGTTCTCTGTCAGCATTTGTCAGTATTCATGTATGTTTAGTTAACGTCATATGAGAATGTATTATGTCCTGCTGACCCTATTTATATGTTAAAAGTTAAAGGGATTGGTCAAGAGGACCGACTTCACTGCAAATGGTTTGATCCTATACGGCTCGGTCAATCTGTGCAGAATGACTTGCTGCCTGATGAGTGAATCGGACAAACACAGTAGCTCTGGCAATGACCCCAAGGGTTCTCCATAAAAACTGCACTCGTGAACTGAGGGGCGAAGTCGTGAAACGAACCCATGACCTTCATACCGCCAGGCAAACAGCGTAACTACTTTGCCACGGACAGCCCGTTTATATGTTGTTAGTGTACATCAAAGAATGTTACACCCTTCCCCCGCGAAACTTCACTGAGTGAGGTACAAGATGGAAGAGAAGAAGAAGTGTGCATGTGTCAGTTTGAGTATGTTCTGGTCATGAGTATAAATAACTCAAAGAATCACAGATGCCTTAAAACTTACCTCATTCCGTCTGCATTCTGGAGGTCTCCTGAAACAGAACAGAGAATACAGTTCAACAAATCAATCTATTAACAATGTTACAAACAGAAACACAATCCAAAGTATATTTAATCTTTGTCAAACTAACACCTAGCAAAATTATAACTACATTCACTAATTCAGCTACTCTACAAATTCTGGCCTGATGTCAAATGACATATAAAAGTATTACCAAATATTTAGCATTTTACAATAATGTTTGTATGTCTACAGCAACCTACTACTACAACATTACCAAAATACAGAGGCCTTCATCAATACTCACTCACACATATTTAGGAAACTTCAATTATTAATAAATATAGCAAACCACAATATTAATAAATATGAAGCCACATTAACATATCTACAGCAACCTACAATATTACCAAGTGTATTATTTAGCGTACACAAATAGAGTTTTAGCTACTTACCCCCAGAAGTTCCATTCACCATATCACCACTCCCTGTCAGTAACAAACAAGTACAAACATTCAGTACAGTTGAAATAATGCCACTGCAAAACTTAGCAATGGTGTATACAAATATGTCTGCACCTTTTTATGTCTTTATTTCCTACCCCGGAGTCTTATCCTTGGTGGCAGACCAACCCGGCAGATCCCCCATTCAACCTCCTAAGAAAATATAATTTGGGCACCTGTAACAGCTGCACCCGCAGCCCCATGAAGATAAAAGATCAGCTTTACGGTAATGACAAAGAACACCTTTGAAGTTTCATTGACTGATCTGGTTGTACTCTCTTGGCTGCTAACTAATTCCAAAAAAAAATCTCAAAGTGGATGGCAAACCAACAAGGCAGATCCTTGATACCTTATTCAACCTCCAGAGAAATTACAGTTAGGGCATTCATAATGGCTACACAAGCCATATGTAACATGAAGTCCTAAGCAGGTAAAGATGATCTGTCAAGCACCTTTGAAGAAACAATTTGTAACGCCTTCTGTGTAAAGTTTCAGCAGTTGCAGATGTAGCTGCTGTAACATACTTTCAAACTCCATACTCTGACTCAATAATCTACAACACTAGCCTGTCGATTTACTCTCTCATGTCAGAGCATCTGCTTCTAAGTGTACTACTCTTTCATTCCAGACTGCATACAAGTAATCTCGGGAAGAGTGTGGTGAACTCCCTTTGTATTCCAAATTCATGCGTGGTGCCGTGACAGAAATGTCTGGCTGTCAGGACAAGAATTGATCTTCTCTATCCAGAGATAGTGTTGTTTTTTTGCTGGGGTGGACACTGGGTCTCTGAACTGCTCGTTCTATCACAATGATTTTCATTCAGTGGGTAGCACAGCTCTTAGGTTTTTTCTCTCTCACACACAAGGCAACAGAGACCGTCACTGGCTTCTCTCTCTCTCACATAGACACACACACACAAGATAATAGGACTGTCCCTGGCTTCTCACACACATACAAGACAATGAGACTGTTCTGGTTTCTCTCACACACACCAAACAATGGGACAGTTCTGGCTTCTCACACACACACACAAGACAATGGGGAAAGTTCCTGGCCTTTCACACACACACACACACATAAGGGGACAGTCCCTGGCTTCTCACCCAGACAAGACGAGTCGCCTGGCTTCTTTCCACACAAGACAAAAAGTAACAAAACTTGGTCCCTAGCTTCTCTCATACACAGGATAATCAGATAGCCCCCACCTTCTCTCTCTCTCTCTTGTACACACACAAGTCAATGAAACAATGTATAGAAAAACATGTGAAAACAGCATGGACATAGCTACTCTACCTGCTTGCTGCAGCTGTTTGCTCCTGACCTCACGTCTGGCCAGCTCCTTGACGGGTCCATACTCATCTTGGATCTTCACCAGGCGTTTTATCTTCTCACTGAAATCATTCAAGGACATTTTACTATAGCAGACATTGCTTTGCCATTATCATATCTTTACTATTATTACACACAATTTAGATTGATCTTGTATTAAACTACAACTATCATATCTCACCTATTATCATACCAAACATATGCTATGCCACACTTATAATACCTGCCCTGCTATAATACCAAGGTGGATAATACCAAGGTGGATACAAGATACTGATTATGCATTGGCTATGAAAGCACACAGGGCTGGAGAACCAGCTAGAGATAGAGACTGTCAGCATCACATGATGAGAGTGACACTCTGTAAAGGACCTGTTGATTGATGATGATGATGATTATCACCCAAGGTTTATTATATCATTCCTATCATCACAGCTGACATATACTTCCTGTCAACACTCTTCGTAATGCCGGGTTCAATCCCAGCTGCGGGCCTTGCGTTGGTTTCGACAGCGGTATCAAGAAGCCGACTGCCCAGAACGCAATGGCAAACTACTGGATGTAAAATGTGCCTAGAAAAACCACAATAGCCACAAAATGCTGGGGTTGGTTCTGCAACGTCCTGTAAAGGATACACAACTAACATCAACACTCCATGTCCAACTTTCCTATCGTAATTCCAGACTTTTTATATCTTTCCTTATATCATATTTGACAGCAGATGAAAAAAAAGGAGAGGTTGACGATCTAAGGAAACCTGGAGAAGCACAGTGGAAAGGGTAATGGAGGAATGAAAAACGACATTAGTTACTTACTACAGACATAAAAGCAGCAAACTGGTAGTGAAGGAGATTACTTGTGAATGGCTGATGTGTTAACAGCAACATGAAGAGGATGAAGAATATCACACCAGACTAAACATATATTACCTTTGATCACTCTCAAACTATTATATCCCTTTTATTATACTACAGCTTTTTATTATAATACCTCTTTCTATTATTATTATGTATATGTCAATTCTGTTATTACGGCAGACATACTGATCCTTTTAAAGTTAAACTCAAAAAGGCTGACTTCACCTCACTGAGTCTTATCCAGTATAACTCAGTTTCTCTGCACAGACCAACTAGCCACCTGCCAAGCATCACATAAAGCATGAATACTGCAGCTCGGACAGCAATCCCTGTGGATCTTTGTAAAAATTGCACTCGTGAACTAATGATGTAGCCTTGAAACAAACCCATGACCTTCAGAGTGGGAAGCAACAGCTTGACCACTTTGCTATGAACACCTGCGATGATCCTACTATCACACGTGATCACGCCCTAGTTTCAATCAATTGGCAATGTAAGGCAGAGATCAATTTTTATTTCTCTCAAACCAGCAGTTGATGGTGACATAGAGAACACAATGCAACAGTGGTCAAGTACCTGGCATCATCTTTTCCTGGGGCGTTGCTCTGGTCAGCAAGAAACATGTCATGTGTCCGCTTGAGTGACCTGAACACCAAAGTGTGCACTGAGTGCTTCTGGACATCCTGTGTGTTGCAACAACAAAAAATTTAATTAGCAGTATCACTTTAAACATGAACATACTTATTTACCACGTTAACATAAATGAAAGCTTGCAAGATCTTCTCGATACAGGAATACAAAGATGTAATATCATATATAGCTGTCACTGTGTACAAAAATGGGTGGTAACCATATGTGCAAATACTGAAAAATGTAAAGCCGCGCCTCATATATTAATGAAAATATACAAGAAAATGTAAAGCCACGCCTCATATATTAATGAAAATATACAAGAAAATGTAAAGCCATGCCTCATATATTAATGAAAATATACAAGAAAATGTAAAGCCACTCCTCGAATATTAATGAAAATATACAAGAAAATGTAAAGCCACTCCTCGAATATTAATGAAAATATACAAGAAAATGTAAAGCCACTCCTCGAATATTAATGAAAATATACAAGAAAATGTAAAGCCACTCCTCGAATATTAATGAAAATATACAAGAAAATGTAAAGCCACACCTCATATATTAATGAAAATATACAAGAAAATGTAAAGAACCCTCTCTGATCACTGCTGGCATTAGTTCAGAAGGTGCAAATGGCTATACTTGATTCTTTTCCATTGACAAATCCATACTGTTCATTAATTCTATTTTTTAATTTTCCTTGCTATTCTCAGTAAATCCAAGAGTTCCATGGAAAGTCCAATATTATAGAGGTGTTAGGGTTATGGTCAAGCAGTGTTCCTTTTAAACCAAACACTGCTTTAATTTTAGACCTACTGGGAAACTCCATATCTGGAGTGAATAAAAAATAAAGAACCTACAATTCTAAGAAGCTGTGTCACTTTTGTGACATTGTTTCATCAGGATTGTTTACAAAAAATTGTTCCCACAATGGAGGCTGGCTGAAGTGAATATGTGGATTCACTGCTGTCTTTACATTATTATGTGGCTAGGCTCAAAGTTCTTATATAGCTGCCTACTCACACCGATCTGCCGAGCACATGCTGTGTGTGTATCAGTGCTGATAAACACCATCCACTGCACTGTGAGATTTGCAGGAAGGGTAGCAGGTTAAAAAGGGGAAAATCTTGGGTTGGTCTTCTTCTTCAGCGATCTCTGGTCATGCGCATAATCCACTGTGGGTCATAAACTGGGATGTCTTTTCAAGGTCTCTTAGGTTTCCCCAAAGCTTAGTTGTCAGTTCTACTGGGTGTTGCCATATGTCGCTCCGCAGCTCCGCCAGGAGAGGACAGTCTTGCAGGACATGTTCTGGAGTCTGTTCAGCACGAAGGCACTGGCAGAGAGCTGTTTGGCTCATACCTAATTTATGTGAGTGTTTATTGAGTCTGCAGTGTCCAGTGCGTAAGCGAAAAACTGTGACTTGGTCTGTTCTGTTCAAGTGTTTCAGAAAATCTTTTCCGTAGTTATAACCAGTGTTGGTTTTCCAATCTGTTTCTGGGGTTGGTCTGGCCAAGGACATTATTCAATGGGTGTGTCCAAACTGAGGACATAAAACCTGGTGAGAAATGGGTACAAATGCCAACAGAGTGGTGCAATACCCTTTTCTATCTGCATAAAACTGGAGAGAGAATGCAGACAATAAATCCTGTCGATAGTTGAGGCAAAAGTTTAAGCCAATAAGCATTAATTCTTAAACATTCTGCTGATGAAGGTGCAGTTATCTACACTGACAGATCCATCGTTTAACATGTACAAAGCTCATGGGTTTTCCTGGTTCTAGCTCGAGGGATACTTGAGAACTGTAAAAGAAGATAGCGGGGCTTTTGCCTAGACTACAAGTAGTCTGACTATGGAGGTGACGGGGGTAACAAAACAAAAGTTATGTCACTACAGATATAATATTTTTTCCCAGGTGTGCTTTCTAAGGATTTCATGAGCATGCTGAAGAAGAGAGAGAGAGGGGGTGAATTTGGAGAAAATGATTGGAATCACAAAGGAAATCTCGTCTGACAAGAATTAGTTTCATATTTATGCCAGGGTGCTCTGTGGTAAGAGGGACTGAATGAGTGAATTGGTTTTCTTGTAGGAAAGCTATGTACAGGAAAAGCAATAGACCAGGTCAATATTCTCAATCAAGGAGATGGGACAAGTAGATGATTCAGGAGATGAGGGTTGAGACAGCAACACTCAAAAGACTACAAGAACTTAAGGTCAAAAGAGGTGTCACCAAACATGAACACTATGGAAGAACACCAAAGAAGAATATAATATTAACCCAACAAAAACTGGTGTTATCAGTCACCACACACTGAGGAAGAAATAAATAAACTGAAGATGAAGATGGGATCCGAACACTATTATGTACAATGAGTATAACTTGTCAGTTAACTAACTCACAGCATAATCTAAATTATTAGCAATCCATTTTTGCCAGCCTAACTGTAATTAACTATTGTCTTTGTGAACATTAATATTAAAGATAGTGAGTGCTAATCTACAATTTGAGAATTATTACAACTGCAAATTTGAGCATTTCCATTGATTTCCGATCGCATTCTAAAATTTAAATCGTTCACCTGTCGGATTCTTATTCTCCCAGTATAACCTCTACCGGAATTTTAAGAATTTAAATATAATTTTAACAAAGTTTTTATTAATGGTAACGTCACCTCATCTCGTACCCTACAGACAGCAGATCTGAGTTGAGAGGCGACGGTCTTTAAACTAGTAGTTATAAGTAGTAGTCGTAGTTAAACTACGGCTGAATTCCAGAGAAATTTGACTAAAAAGCTCAACAAAATGGGAAAGAGGAAAACGTGCACAAAACAACAAAACGTAACGTTTCGGCTGGGCAGCCTTTTTCAAACACAAGTGAAAGACACAAACGAGGAATCATTCCTCGTTTGTGTCTTTCACTTGTGTTTGAAAAAGGCTGCCCAGCCGAAACGTTACCGTTACGTTTTGTTGTTTTGTGCACGTTTTCCTCTTTCCCATTTTGTTGAGCTTTTTAGTCAAATTTCTCTATTCCTCGTTTGTGTCTTTCACTTGTGTTTGAAAAAGGCTGCCCAGCCGAAACGTTACGTTTTGTTGTTTTGTGCACGTTTTCCTCTTTCCCATTTTGTTGAGCTTTTTAGTCAAATTTCTCTGGAATTCATTGTATTAGCTTGACTGCAGTCACCCCCATAGTTTAACCATTTTTAAACTACGGCTACGGTTTTCCCCATTCCCTGTTAAAATAAGTACTCCGGCCATTTAACCTCATGTGTTTGACGTTTGCTCTCACGTTGCATGAAAACAAAACATGAATGAGGCCAGACTAGAGAGGATTTGTTGAGTATGAACTTACCTCTGATGCCATAGTTTATTCAACAACTTTCGTCAATGTTGGTTCATATACGATCAACGAACGCTACCATTCACTTTTCTACACACAACGTTAGTGACCTCCCTTGGCGACTGGCGACAGGCCAATGTTGAAAACATGAAAACAGTTTTAGCGAAACAATATAACTACACTTCCCTAAGTATAACATACATCACAGCACGCATGACATTTACACAAGCGGTCTGTCCTTATCCTCAGCAGCCAGCGAAGAATTTCAATTCCTATGATGCCAGTAGCAGTTGATTATATCCCCACCTTGCCTTTCTATGAGTGTAGAGTGTCCCCAGGTCACCCCAAGCTGTGCAGTTCTCTCCAGCCCATAATGATATGTTCGGGCCTACGCATTGTTCGCTTACCCGCCCCCCCCCCAACCTAAAGTACCCTGCCCACATCTAACCTGTCATGCATAAATTCATTACCCAGGGGTGCAGAACCAGCTAATCTGTCTGCATATTCATTTCCCAAAGAACGCTAACTACCGATACCTCTGTGGTAAATTGCAGATAACCTTTAGTTACTATGCCGTTACCTGCACAAGACCGCAGTATATATTGCCAACATATTCTGACTGTAAGTTACTTTGTAACCCTCGGAGAGACATGGGGGGGGGGGGGGGCACCATATAACCTCACAGTTGAACGGGGTCTGTCTGGGAATTTATGTTTCCAGAATTCACAGTCAAATAATGCCTCTGTGGGTTATCGGCGGGGGTCGGGTATTTAAATCGCACGTATTGGCTGGAGTCCGACTTACATCGTGTCAGTAATGACTTGCGACTCGACTTGAGATTTTGTCCAGTGACTAACTTGCGACTTATAGCTTCGACGGTTTGATAGGATTCGTTCTTTGCGGCCAGATAGTGTGAGATTTGGTAATAAAACACAATAATAATATAATAATACAATAATGTGACAACTTTTCAGTTTTCTGCAAATTTATTAAAATAACAGAACTTTCAAGCTGCAGCACGAAAAAAAGGCTGTTGGGGTATACAGTCAGCTAGCCAGAGTCTCCCTTCAGACTGCCGATCAATACATTTTCTGTTACTTGTTTACTTCAGATTTTTTGGTGAAGTGTTAGGGAGGTGGGTCAAGGCCGTGCCGTGCAACGATAGAGATTCGACTGCATCAGGCGGCACCGTAAGCCCGCGACAGAATTAGTGAAATCAGAATACAGTTTGAACATTTGAGGGACAGAAAAGCTACCACACGCTTGTGTCCTGGATAGTGTTGAGATATAAGAGTCGTATGTGATCTTTTTAAATGCTCTGTAAAGAGGTTCACATTTCCGTGCGGGTGTTGTTGATGCCGCGGAATGGACTAAAGGTCAGAAGGATGTACATTCAGGTTGCTTCGGGTACCATCAGAATTGGAACTCTGTGCTGGCTGCTGGAATTGGAGCTGAGGTGAGAGTTGAGTCACGAATTGGCATCACAGCACTCGGGGCATTCCCATGCCTGCTGCGTCCTCATCTTCAGCAGCCAGTGCAGATTTCCAGTACTGATAGTACCGGTCACAATCTGGTTATATATCCGTTTTGCCTTTCCTCTGAGTGTAGTGAGCCGGCCAGACCCTCTGGTTACATACACCCAGGTGCCGTATTCTCTTCAGTCTATAATAATCTTGCTTATCTACTAATTCCGTTGCTTGTTCCCAAAGGGCTTTG